GATGGCGTCGCTGCTCAGAATGTTCCAGAGCACGGCCGGCTCCGGGGGCGTGCAGGAGGACGCCCTCATGGCCGTCAGCACCCTGGTGGAAGGTCAGGAACGGGGAAAAATGGGGGGAAAATGTCATTTATTGGGGAAAAATGTCATTTATTGGGGAAAAATGTCCTTTATTGGGGTTGCTCCGTACCTGGAAGTGGCTGATGGTGGAAGGTGTCACTTCCAAAAAATCCTGGTGTTCTGAAATTTTAAAGCAACTTAGAGCGTGGGATTTTGGTTTCTTACATTATTTTTTTGTTATTGTTGTTATAATTATCATTTTAAAATTTATCTATTAATATATTACATTAATAAAGTTTATATAATTTATACTATGTTATATTATATAAAAATTTATATTATTTATGTATGAAATTATAATGTATTAATATATTAAACAATGTATAAGTTATCCTATGTCATATATTATATAAAAGGATTTTTGATATATTTTTCTATGTTAAATCATAATATATCAATATATTTTATATTATTGTACGTTATATGTAGTATTTATGGTGTATGTATATATACTATATATACTATATATGCTCTACATATATTTTATATAATATATTTATTCTGTATATATGCTATATATATACTATATATACTAGATATACTATATATAGTATATTTATAGTATTTATAGAGTATAATAATTACATTATTATTTATATTCTTATTTATATTATTATCACCTTATTTAAATTATTATTAGTAGTAGTATTAGTGTTAGTATTTTCATATTTTCTTATTATTAAAAAAAAAAAGTTAATAAAACAGTGTTTACATGCCTGAAGTGTCCTAGGCCAGGTTGGACAGGGCTTGGAGCAAACTGGGATAATGAAAGGTGTCACTTTAATGTCCCTTTCATCCCAAAAAAATCCTGGAATTCTAAAATCTAAAACCACCTCAGAGCGTGGAATTGTGATCTGTTGTATTTTCTTATTACTTCCAATAAGAATTTGGGAATTTATCCAGTCCAGAGGACCTGGAATCATTTCAGTGTTCTCAGATGAGAGTTGATTTTCACTGGGTTTGGGTGGAATTTAAGGGATATCTGGTTTGTTATTTATGGCAAATGCCCCAAATTGGGATTTTTTTTT